ATCATCTATTCATCCAGTCATCCTAAATCCATCCATCCATCCCTCATCCATCCGTCGATACTTACCGAAATTAGACCTGGATAGTCTAAGCTCAGTGTGAAGACCATGTTATAAACTTCCAAGGTCACGACTTTGGTGTAGGACACGGCGTAGTCCCCTCCACGATTGTGGTTCTGGACTTTCACATTAAAAGGCGTCACAGAAGGGTCATTGCAAATCACGCCGACCAGAAGGTATATGCAGGTACCCATGAAGTCATATCTCTTTGCCATCAAAGGTTGTGTAGTGAGGATCTCCAGAACCTGTACAAGTAGAAAAGCTCAAGGGATGGCATCCGCGGACTCCATTCACGAGGGCGCACCGCTCACTTGGCTTACATCTGCTCTGCTTGCAGACCACCAAGTTGAGGTTCGGGTCACACTTGCAGAGCACTTGGCAGTTTTCATCGGCCCAGAACTCTTCGTTGGCCTGGTAGTAGATTCCATTGAGGATGCATCCGCAACTAGAAATCGCAACGCATTGATGGCCGCTAAGAACAAAGCCGTCGTTACATTGGCAGGTTTCCACGCAGGGTTCGATGCACAGGGATGGGGCGGTACGATCGGTTGCAGGTGGCTGGACAGGCATTACCACAGGCTTCATAATGACTGTTTGGAGGACATGGCAAAACTGAAATACATTGAGAAAATGTAAAAAAAAAAAAAAAATTATTTAGATAATGGTGTTTCTTACAAAATTTTTATTAGTGCATAATAAAAATTATTCTTTAAACAATCTGCAGTTGAAAGCAAACATTAATGGATTGGAAAGCTGTTTATTTCCAACATAAATTCATAAAAAAAATTATTTTATTTATTTTTTGTTATGACATGACATAATGACAATTTAAATCTTTATAAATACCACATTTTTGTGCAATTTAAAAAAAAAATTAGGATATTGAATCATTCTTTTTTTCTCACAGTTTTTACTTTTACTGTACATATTGTCACCACCACAGTACAGCGTGATCATGTGACCGGTGTGGCGGTGATCAGGGACACTGACTGTCGATGGTATGTTTTAAAAATGAACAAAAAAATTATTAGTTTTAGTTCAATTTTTTTTTTTTCTAAAAATGAATCTCTAACCAATCTGCAGTTGAAAGCAAAAATTAATGGATTGGTAATCTGTTCATTTCCGAAAAAAAATCCTTAAAAAATTGCCCAAATAAATTCACAGGTTATTTTTTATTATGATCTGAAAAAAAACGACACTTTAAATCTTTTAAATTCCACAAACTGAATTTTTTTGGTTGCTTTCTTTTTAAAATTAGGAAATTTAATATTTTTTTTTTTTTTTTATATAATATAGACATACTTTCATCAGAGCAGTACAGCGTCATCGTATGACTGGTGTGGTGGTGATCAGGGATACTGACTGGTGACAGTGTGTTTAACCCCTCGGCCCTTTAAGGGTTCCAGAAGCCGAGAGGTGGGGCGGGGTTTTAGGGTCATGTGACCGCCGTGATTTGCTGTCACAGTGGTCACATGATCGGGAAAGGTCCCAATCCAAAGGGGAGATCGGGACCTTTCCGTGAGTACCAAACAAGTGTGCCGGGAGCGCCAGGGTGCTCTCTCTCAGCACATATTTTTTTTTTAATAGAACGCAAATGTGCCCAGACACCGGGAGGCTGCACATTTGCGTTCGGTCGGCGTCAAGAGCTTAAAAAAAAAAAAACTAAAAAATTATTTTTTATTCAAATTTTTTAAACATTTATTTCATTTTTTCCAATTTTTTTTTTTTTTTATACTTTCACTCTTAGGGAGTTATCAGGGAATTTTTTTTTTTTTTTTTTTCAACAATGGTCAGTAATGCCATAAATATTTGAAACAGAAACTTGGCTGAATTCAATTGTAATCACTTTCATGCATTACGAGAATCCATGGAAACAGAATGAGGCAAATTAGGGCAAATAAACACAATGTTTCAGTTTCACTTATTTATGGAAAAGCACCGCAATCGTGAAAATGCTTCCTTAGGGTATCAGACTTCGGAAGAGACTTAAAAGATTCTAACATCGGGATCAAGGAGAATTCCAAGCAGTTGAAATCCAATGGACGAAGAAGAAACTTCCCACCCTCCCGCATGAAAATTTTGGATTTTCTCTTCCTTGCTTGTCGTAGTGGCCTGTCAGTTGGGATCTTTGGAGGCCTTCTAAATTATCATTGTGGGGACCCATCTATAGTATGGGTCCCCAGTAAAAGTCCAGTTAATGGTGGATTAACTGGGAATTTGGGACATGGAGGTATCTGTGAAGAATATGAGATTTGGGATTGTCCCCGAGTCGGTGTGTTGGCAGCTGCAGACCTAAAAGTGGTCAAGCAGATATAAAAAATTTGGTTCTTAGTGCCTTCAAAGATCGGCAACCTTGGTTAATTGATTTTCGGGAGTTATTATTATGTTCTTGTTTTAAAGGAAAGTTCTTGCTTTTGGTTATTTGTTAATAAATGGCCACTACGGCCAATTTTCACTCAAGTCATGACGTTGAATACTTAACGCAACCAGATGGTGGATTAACCGGGAATTTGGGACACGGAGGTATCTGCAAAGAATGTGAGAGTTGGGATCGTCCCCAAGTGGGTGTGTTTGTGGCTGCAGACCTTTAAGTGGTCAAGCAGATACAAAGGTTTGGTTCTTAGTGCCTTCAAAGATCGGCAACCTTGGTTAAATGATTTTCGGGAGTCAATAGTATGTTGTTTTAAAGGAATGTTCTTGTATTTGGTTGTTTGTTAATCAATGGCCGCTACGGCCAATTTTCACTCCAAATGGTGTTGGTCTGATTATTCCATATAATTTGTATATGGGGACTATATTGTCATTGGGTGAGGTTGACATCGATTTTACCCATGTTTAATACTCACCGCAACCAGACGGTGGATTAACCTAGAATTTGGGACATGGAGGTATCTGCGAAGAATGTGGGAGTTGGGATCGTCCCCGAGTCGGTGTGTTTGTGGCCGCGGACCTTTAAGTGGTCAAGCAGATACAAAAGTTTGGTTCTTAGTGCCTTCAAAGATTGGCAACCTTGCTTTAATGATTTTCAGGAGATATTATTATGTTCTTGTTTTAAAGGAATGTTCTTGTATTTGGTTATTTGTTAATCAATGTGCGCTACGGCCAATTTTCACTCCAAATGGTGTTGGTCTGATTATTCCATAATATTTGTATATGGGACTATAGTGTCATTGGGTGAGGTTGACATGGGTTTTACCCAAGTCATGACGTTTAATACTCACCGCAACCAGATGGTGGATTAACCGGGAATTTGGGACATGGAGGTATCTGCAAAGAATGCGAGAGTTGGGATCATCCCCAAGTGGGTGTGTTTGTGGCTGCAGACCTTTAAGTGGTCAAGCAGATACAAAAGTTTGGTTCTTAGTGCCTTCAAAGATCGGCAACCTTGCTTAAATGATTTTCAGGAGTTATAATTATCTTCTTGTTTTAAAGGAATGTTCTTGTGGTTATTTGTTAATCAATGGCAGCTACGGCCAATTTTCACTCCAAATAGTGTTGGTCTGATTATTCCATAATATTTGTATATGGGACTATAGTGTCATTGGGTGAGGTTGACATGGGTTTTACCCAAGTCATGATGTTTATTACTCACCGCAACCAGATGGCGTTCTCCAGTCGTATATTTTAACTCCCAGTCTCTTACAGATGCTCGAATAGATATTGAGAGCCTGGCACAGGAACTGGATTGCTCCGCCGTTAATGCAGACATCAAACAAGCAGCTATCAAAGAATTCGCTTGGGTTAACTATTGGATGGCACTCCCTGAAAGGACCGTTGGCAACCCTGATGAGACCGCATTTATTCTCGCCTCCATACTGGTTTTTTTTGGCATCGTCACAGATTGGACAGTAAGGACTAGGGCAAATGTCGAAGCAGAAAATATCCCAATCATTGACTTTCCAACTCTGGGCAAAGTCGAGGACGGAGGAAACTAGATTGTTACCAGAGGTGATGAACTCATCCATGATGTTATGGTTAAAGTTACCGCACAGACCACGTGTAAGGCCAAAATAGCTGCTGGAGATCATGACAATAACATTCCACTCGTATTCATAGTACACCCTCAAACCAAAGTCAGTACGGATAATGGCATAGTAGCCAGTGTAGATTACTTTGATCCTTCCACTTAGCAAAATTACAGGAATATTGGTGAGGATACCATTCACCTGTTTAGTGAAAGAGAAAAAAATATATATATTTATGGTGTCATGAACTCCGGAACATATGGTATTAGGTTACATGACTAAAGGGGTGAATTGTTCGGGTAGAGATGTTAAAAACAGCATATTAAATGGGTGATAGCTGGGTAACTCTCCCCTGTTTGGAAATTGTTGTTCCATTTTGACGTAGATGGCCTCCTCAACAACTCTTGCCAACCAGTTGCCTTCTCTGACTAAAATATGCACTTAGCTGGGGTATGTTTCTAACACTCAGAGCTAAAGAAGATAGTCGGATGCAGGGGCGAACTGACAACTCATGGGGCCCCCGGGCAATAGGGGATCACGGGGCCCCTGTGTCCTCGCCCACACTTAAACCACAACCAAAACAGCCTATCAAAGGTGCCAGGGACATCTCATGGGGCCCCCTACTGACCCCAGGCCCTCGGGCAGCGCCCGAGTTCCCCAATGGTCAGTCCGCCCCTGGTCGGATGACTAGCAAAACATCCTCAACTTTACAGAACAAGTCCAGGTTTAAGCATTTGACCTCCGGAAGGTTTGAATTATGACCTGGAAAACACTAGGTTGTATTAGGCTGTCACTAGATTAGGGTGATTAAACAAAGTTTGCCCTTTATGTCAGGTGTACCTATCAAAGTCCCCCTTTACACCAGGAGTCCTCATCGGAGTCTCCCTTTTCATTGGGTTCCCATCAAATTGCCTGCTTATGTCAGGTGTCCTCATTGGAGTACCCCCTTACATCAGGGTCTCCATCAGAGTGCCCCCTTACATCAGGGTCCCCATCAGAGTGACCCCTTACATTGGGTGTCCCCATCAGAGTGCCTCCTTACATCAGTGTCCCCATCAGAGTCCCCCCTCATCCATTGCCCCAGCAGAGTGCACCCTTACATATGATGTTATCTTCTTCAGAGTACCCCCTTACATCAGGTGACCCCATCAGAGTGCCCCATTAAATGGGATCCCCCCATCAGAGTGCCTCCTTACATCAGTGTCCCCATCAGGGCCCCCCCTCATCCATTGTCCCCAACAGAGTGCACCCTTACATATGATAAGTTATCTTCATCAGAGTGCCCCCTTACATCAGCTGTCCCCATCAGAGTGCCCCCTTACATCAGGTATCCCCATCAGAGTGCCCCATTAAATAGGGTGTACCCATCAGAGTGTCTCCTTACATCAGTGTCCCCATCTGGGTCCTCCCCTCATCCATTGTCCCCAACAGAATGCACCCTTACATATGATAAGTTATCTTCATCAGAGTGCCCCCTTACATCAGGTGTCCCCATCAGAGTGCTGCCTTACATCAGGTGTCCTCATCAAGATGCCCCCCTAAATGTATTGTCCCTATCAGAGTGCTCCCTTACATAGATTGTCCTCATCAGAGTGCCCCTTACCTCAGGTGTCCCCATCAGAGTGGCCACTTACCTCAGGTGTCCCCATCAGAGTGGCCTCTTACATCAGGTGTCCCCATCAGAGTGCCCCCTTACATCAGGTGTCCTTGTCACAATGCCCCCTTACATGTGTTGTCCCCACTAAAGTGCTCCCTTACATAGATTGTCCTCATCAGAGTGCCCGTTAGATCAGGTGACACCATCAGGTGACCCCATCAGAGTGCCCCTTACATCAGGTGTCCCCATCAGAGTGCCCCTTACATCAGCTGTCCTCGTCACAGTGCACCCCTACATGTATTGTCCTCATCAGAGTGCTCCCTTACATGGATTATCCTCATCGGAATACATCCTTACATGGATTATCCTCTTCAGAATACCCCCTTACATGGATTATCCTCTTCTGAATACCCCCTTACATGGATTATCCTCTTCGGAATACCCCCTTACATGGATTATGCTCATCGGAATACCCCCTTACATGGATTATCCTCTTTGGAATACCCCCTTATATGGATTATCCTCTTCGGAATACCCCCTTACATGGATTATGCTCATCGGAATACCCCCTTACATGGATTATCCTCTTCGGAATACCCCCTTACATGGATTATGCTCATCGGAATACCCCCTTACATGGATTATCCTCTTTGGAATACCCCCTTACATGGATTATCCTCTTCGAAATACCCCCTTACATGGATTATGCTCATCGGAATACCCCCTTACATGGATTATCCTCTTTGGAATACCCCCTTACATGGATTATCCTCTTCGGAATACCCCCTTACATGGATTATGCTCATCGGAATACCCCCTTACATGGATTATCCTCTTTGGAATACCCCCTTACATGGATTATCCTCTTCGGAATACCCCCTTACATGGATTATGCTCATCGGAATACCCCCTTACATGGATTATCCTCTTTGGAATACCCCCTTACATGGATTATCCTCTTTGGAATACCCCCTTACATGGATTATCCTCTTCGGAATACCCCCTTACATGGATTATCCTCTTCTGAATACCCCCTTACATGGATTGTCCCCATCAGAGTGTCTCCTTACTCCAACTGTCTGCATCAGACTAGCTCATGGATCAGTGTATGCACCCTCAGAGACCTAGGGGGCACAGCCAAATCTGGAGGGGCACTGAAAAAAACTCCCCATATGGTCACCAAGAGTCAACATCAACCTGGTGGCACCTAGGTCCTGGTTACTATTAGTAATACAGTAAGAAAACGTTTAATTTTGAACAAAATTTATAAAAATTATTTTACTTACTTTTTTTTTTTTAATGATGATAACTACTCACCCAAACTTTACCAAATTCTCCCCTCCTAAAGCTGAGCTTGTATCCGTAAACGTAGACAGTGACGATCCTAACATAGGACACGGCCAGGTTACCTCTGTTGCCGTTCTTCTCCTCGACAACAAATGGCACCAAGCCAATGTCATTACCGATATATTTAGATAGGATATAAGTGCAGGTGCCCTGGAAATCATAGTTGTAGCCATCATAAGTACGGTAATGGGGGTCTCCCCAAGCCCAGCAGACTCCCACGAAATTTGGGACGCAGATTGGTCTTCCATTTTCGACCTTGCAAGTTTCCTTGACCCTACAACGGAAGAACTGGCACGGATCTGAAATAAACACATAAAACACAGAAGAAGACCTTCAGCTAAACGTTGTGTAGCACACCAATATACATACATCGAACAAATATTGTATTCCATCACTAAAGCCTCAATTCTAAAGGGATTGTTCAAATGTTTGGGGGTTCCGAAGAGGACCATGAACAGAGGGTTAACAGGGGTGCTCAACCTTTCGAAGAGCGAGGGCCACTTATATAATTTGGTAACCAGTTGGGGGCCTCAATGAAATGAAATGGATCAGAATTTCAATTTATTTTTTTGAACAGCAGAATGAACATTTTCCTCCTGCAGATGCTGAATGAAGCTGGGAGGGAGAGGAGGAGAAGATGGCTTTTAGCAGTTGAGGATTGGTTCCTGTATATGCCGACCCTCCCGTCCAAGTATAAAACAGAATGTGACACGGAGGCTGCAAGGGCCCCCTGGAGCATGGGGCAGGGTCACCATTGCAACCTCTGACACTACACCAGTGGTTGGGGGGGAGGTCAGAGGTGTAGCTTGAAGCTTGTGGTCCCTGATGCAAAAGTTGACTTGGGCACCCCCGCTCCCCAAACTAACAACTGCCGCTTCCACTGCATGCTTGCCCCATCACCCTGTGTAGGTAAACAGGAAACTCAGAGGGCCCAGGATAGGTCTGGGTGGGCCCCTGCTCCCTTGACCAAGGTCCTCTGAGTGTAGTCAGCAAGCACTTTTCCCCAGGGACACAGTGTAAAACAGGTAGGCAGCCTCTGAGAGGTGGAGATCTACCTGAACAACATGAAAGATATCAAACATCACCGGGGTTTCAGCTCTATTTTTTTTATTTTTAAGAAATTAACTACCAAGGCCTAACTCAGAGTAAAGAAAACCTAGAAAAATATAATAAAACAAATGTAAAAAAAAATTAAATTAGCCTATCCTTAATAGTGGGCAGTGTCAGTAGGGCAGTGGATGGTGTCAGTAGGGCAGTGGATGATGTGTGGACAGTGTCAGTAGGCCAATGGGTGGTGTGTGGACAGTATCAGTAGGGCAGTGGATGATGTGTGGACAGTGTCAGTAGGTAAGTGGACAGTGTCACTATGCCAGTGGGTGGTGTGTGGACAGTGTCAGTAGGGCAGTGGGCAGTGGACAGTGTCAGTAGGGCAGTGGATGGTGTGTGGACAGTGTCAGTAGGGCAGTGGATGGTGTGTGGACAGTGTCAGTAGGGCAGTGGATGGTCTGTGGACAGTGTCAGTAGGGCACTGAATGGTGTGTGGACAGTGTCAGTAGGGCACTGAATGGTGTGTGGACAGTGTCAGTAGGACAGTGGATTGTGTGTGGACAGTGTCAGTAGGGCAGAGGACAGTGTTGGTAGAGCAGTGGATGGTGTCAGTCAGTAGGGAAGAGGACGTGTCAGCAGGGCAGTGGATGGTGTGTATACAGTGTCAGTAGGGCTGTGGATGGTGTGTGGACAGTGTCAGTAGGGCAGTGGACAAAGTCAGCAGAGCAGTGGATGGTGTCAGTATGGCAGTGGATGGTGTCAGTAGGGCAGAGGACAGTGTTGGTAGAGCAGTGGATGGTGTCAGTCAGTAGGGAAGAGGACGGTGTCAGTAGGGCAGAGGACAGTGTTGGTAGAGCAATGGATTATGTCAGTTGGGCAGTGGACAGTGTCAGTCAGTAGGGCAGTGGACAATGTTAGCAGAGCAGTGGACGGTGTCAGTAGGGCAGTGGACGGTGTCAGTCAGTAGGACAGAAGGCTGTGTCAGTATGGTAGTGCATGGTGTCTGTAGTTTGTTTTTTTTTTTTTATATATTTTTTTCTTTTTTTATTAATATTTATTTTTACAATTTTGTTATATTTGGTGAAATATCAGGGGTCTAAAGAGACTCCTGATGTCTCACGTTTGACAAAAATTCCTCAGTCCCCTACTGGGGCCTCTACAGCCAATCTACCCTTGTTGGACCATAGGACTATATGCATGCTCAATCGATGATCAATCTGGGATGGAATAGCAGAAACATAAGGTAGATCATTCAGGCACCTAAAAGACGGCTTTTCCTCCCCCTCCTCCTGTTGGCTTTCAGCCGCTACAGGAAAATGCAGCTGATTGAGTCTAGTAAATGCCACCACTGCCCTTCCTATCCCTGTTCCTCTTGTTGCCTGGGCCCCCCTGGATCATGAGTGAGGTCGCCACTGTGACCCCTGCGCCCCCTATTGCTATGTGTGACCCCTGCGACCCCTATTGCTACGTGTGACCCCTGTGCCCCCTATTGCTACGTGTGACCCCTGCGACCCCTATTGCTACGTGTGACCCCTGTGCCCCCTATTGCTACGTGTGACCCCTGCGACCCCTATTGCTACGCCCATGGGGGGGAGCTCAAAACACATCTCAACTATGGGGATTTATTGACCCCCAAACCACTAATAGTGAACCTTTACTGTCCTGAGCCCCCATTAAAGCTGCTTTCACATCTTGAGGGTGCCGTGTACTTTCTGAAAGCCTTGCATTCAGGAGCACACCAAACCCGGAAGACAGAACAGAATTGTGCTTCCCTGGTTGGAGGCCGAGGGCCACCTCAAAGGGCTCCAAGGGCCACATGTGGCTCCCTGCCACAGGTTTAGCACCCTTGGGATAAAACAAGGCACTGTCTTTTTTTTTAACTGCAGAAAATAGGGGTAGGGCCACAGTTTAGGAGACTGGAGGCTTGGGCCAAACAAGACCCCATTTTGTTTTGTTTTTTTTAATCTTGTGACCATTGCAAAGTTCCGAGTTTTACTTTTTTTGTTAGTTGTACATCACAAATTACAACCATTACCATTGTTAACACATTTGGCAATTCCGTTCTGATTGTTACATTCTTCGCCAGGCGCACAACTAGTGTCTTCACAGAGAAGCCCACCCACCGGCCTACACGTGCAGGCTTGCTTGCAGTCACTGGATAAGACCCTCTCGTTAAGCTGTGGGGGTAAAATAGGTTGAAAATAAAGAAAATTGCATTCAAAAAATCAAATCTACCCCCCCTCTGTATAAGGATTGCAAGGCAACATTGTGTGAAACTGACCACCCTGGTGCAACGAGGTCAGCGAAAGGCCGGAGGAGAACGGCACAATGTTTAACCACTTCCAGTCCAGACACTTTCAATCCCCTTCCAGTCCGGACACTTTCACCCCCTTCCAGTCCGGACACTTTCACCCCCTTCCAGTCTGGACACTTTCACCCCCTTCCAGTCCGGACACTTTCCCCCCCTTCCAGTCCGGACACTTTCACCCCCTTCCAGTCCGGACACTTTCCCCCCCTTCCAGTCCGGACACTTTCATCCCCCTTCCAGTCCGGACACTTTCCCCCCCCTTCATGCCCAGGCCAATTTTCAGCTTTCAGCGCTATCACACTTTGAATGACAATTGCGCGGTCATGCAACACTGTACCCATATGAATTTTTTTAGCATTTTTTGAGACAGATAAAACTTTATTTTGGTGGTATTTATTGACCGCTGGGATTTTTATTTTTTATTTTTTTGGTATATAAATGAAAAAGTCCATAAATTTCGAAAAAAAAAGTGTTTTGCAAATAAATAATTTTTCTTCATAAATCATGGCCAAAATTTATTCAGTTATCTTTTTAGTACAAAAAAAAATAACCCAAATTAGTTTATAACCAAAAATTATAATTAAAAAAAAAACAATTTTACATTTTAAATTTTTTTTTTATATTATTATTTATTTATTTTTTAACATACTGTCACCCTAGCAGTACAGTCACCATAGTGACACTGTACTACTTTTGGGGGGTAATGAAGATTTTTTTTTTTTGTTTACACTGATTGCTTTTACACCCATAAAGATTGTAAAAAAAACAATAATGTTTCCTTCTCTTTGGCTGCATTCTTGCAGCCATTGAGAAATACTGTGAGAGCTGTGATTGGTCACAGCTTGTCACATGGAAGGCTGTCTTGAGTGGGGGTTTGTTGGTCAATGTCAGGGTCTTATTGTGGGGGAGGGGGTGCTTGTCAGTGTCAGGATCTCTCCGGAAGGGGGGGCAATTTTTGTGTTGCCTA